TGGGCATGGGCCGCCGCGCGCGCCCGATGGCAGGTTTCGACGCCCGCATGCGAGTGGCAGTTGATGGTTCGGACCCCACGTGGCCCTCGTCTCTGGTCGACATGCCCCCCCGCCATCTTTTGCCAGCGCCCGACCGGCAGTCCTCTTGGTCATGAGACTGCAGGGCCTCTTGCCGCCCGCCGCCATCTGCGAATCGCCGACGATGGCGACGGGGTCGCGCGCGGGCCTCAAGGTCAATCCACCAGCTCCGCCGCTCCGGTGGTCTGAGGCCAAGTAATCTCTCCGAAGCATCCTGGGGGTGAATCTCTCCGCGGCGCCCTGGTCTTCTTGAGATATCAGCACTGCGCCCAATTCTGCGCGTGCTGTGCACGTGTCTGATGCGCTAAATGGGCCGCCCGCGAGAGCGAAGGTAGCGCTGGCGGTGCCGATGTCTTGTCCTATTTCTGCCCTGCTACTCCCCGCCGCCCAGCGTTCGTCGGTGGCCCTCCCCCCGTGCTGGCGGGGGCCGCGTTGAGCGCGCGTTCTGTGGCAACGCGCCCCTGGCCCAGAAAGTCGCCCCCGGCGGGAGGTCTCCGACTTCGCTGGCTCTGGGCGCCAGGCCGGCTGCGTATAAAACCGCACGTGCTCTATCACTTGTGCGGCGGGGCACTCGCGCAGGCGATGGGGCGGCGCGTCGTCGGCCTCCAGCGCGCGTCGCTGGCGCTCTGATTGGGCCTGCCACCCAGCTGCGCGACGTGTCTGGCAGGTCCAAATGGCAGCGCGCGCTGCGGTCTCCAGTGCCCCTGCTTCCTGGCGTCGCCCAAATTCCTGAACTGTCTAGCGCCGCCGTGGGCCGCGCCGGCAATCGCCTCGAGACTGAAACCCTTGCCCTTCATGGTGCCGCTTGGCCTGGCGCGGTAGGCTCACTGCTTCCGCCTCTTGCATACTTCTTCCCAGCTCTGTTAAGTCGGCGCATTCCCCGTCGCATGTCCACCAAACATCTCCATGGTGGTTCGTCAACTCGGCGAGCCGAGGGGCTGCCGCGGCGGCAGCGGCTGCCGCCCGCCCGCCTCGGCGTCGAGCCACCGCTTGCCGCCCGCCTCGGAGGTGGTCGCGCAGATCCTCTCTGGCGCTGGCGCGCCACATCCTTGCTCGCTCTCGCACCTGCCTGATGGCGTCGGCAGCCCGCGGCTCTTTCACTCCGCGAAATCGCCAGCGGGGCTCATGCCTCGCATCGGTGCCCATGTCGCCTGGTTGCGCTGCTGCTTGGCTCTGATGTCGGCACGTCGCAGGCCGGCTATTACGCGCCCCCATCTTGCAGCTCTGAGGCAGGGCCCACGCGCATATTCCACTGCCTTGCCAAAGCCACGCTCTCGCAGCGCCCTTCGCCGCCGTCGATCTATCGCCGCGTTGCGCCCCGCGTCTTTCATCGCATCGGCCTGCGTTAGCTTGAGATCGCTTCGCTTTGCAGCGCGGCCCACCGCCTCCCCGAATGATGGGCGCGACGCAGCGCGGGCCAACTTGCGAGCAATGCGCAGCATGTCGAGCTTGCAGCTTGCGATGATGGTTACGCGCTCGTTGCCATGTGACCCCCCGACGATGCGACGCGGCCGTTCTGCGCGGGCCTGCACGTCGTCGACGCGCAGGACTGGCCATGCGTCGAGGGCCCGGATGCGCGCCCAGTCCACGATGCCGCGCCGCATCGCGCCAGCGGGATTGCCGGCGCGGCTGCAAGCCGCGTAAATGCGTTTGCACGGCGCGAGTAGGAGGCCGCGCGCGCCGATGCCCTGAACGTGCGCGGCGCCGCGTGCATCGACGTGCGCGCGTAGAGCTCAGTTGCAGCGTAGTCCAGCGCCTGCGCCTTGCCTATGAGCTTCGCGAGGTTGACGATATCTCGGGCGTGCCCCGAATCTGTTTCTCGCGAAGTAAGCGGGCTGAGCTGGGCTGAACTCAACTCACACTGAACTGAACTGGACTGAACGAACTGAACTGAACAGGCTGGTCGCACCCGCTACGCGGCGGTTATATTCTCTGCCGCCAAGGGCGCAACGCATGGCGCAATCGCTAGGAGAAGGTTGTGTTCTCGGCCGCCGAAGGCGCAATCTATGGAACAACCGGTAGCAGGCGGTTGTATTCTCGGCCACCGACGGCACAACCTACGGCGCAACCGATTGGAAACGGTTTTAGTCTCGGCCGCCGAGGGCGCAACCTGTGGCACAACTGCTAGGAGACAGTTTTGTTCTGGCGCCGAGGGCGCAAACTCTGGCAGAATCGCTAGGAGGTTGTTTTATTCTCGGCCGCCGGGGGCGCAACCTGCGGCGCGACCGCTCAGAGACGGTTCTTTTCTCGGCCGCCGACGGCGCAACCTATGGAGCAACCGATCGGATGAAGTTTTATTCCCGGCCCCCGAGGGCGCAACCTGTGGCGCCACCGATTGGAGGCAATTGTATTCTCGGCCGCCGAGGGCACAACCCATGGCGCAACCGATAGGAGAGGGTTTTGTTCTTGGCCGCCAAGGGCGCAACTTATGGCGCAAACGATAGGAGACGGTTTTGTTCTCGGCCGAAAGGGGCCCACCCATGGCGCAACCGATTGAAAACTGTTTTATTCTCGGCCGCCGAAGACGCTGCCTATGGCGCAACCGATAGAAGACGGTTTTATTCTCGGCCGCCGAAACCGCTACCTATGGCGCAACCGATCGGAAACGGTTTTGTTCTCGGCCGCCGAGGGTGCTACCTACGGTGCAACCAATGGGATACGGATTTATTTTCGGCCGCCGGGGGCACAACCGACGGCGCAAACGATGAGAGACGGTGTTGTTTTCGGGCGCCGAGGGCGCAGCCTGTGGCGCAACCGATCGGACGAGGGGAGAAAGTTTTATTATCGGCCGCCGAGGGCGCATGGCGCAACCGACAGGAGACGGTTTTATTCTCGGCCGAAAGGGACCCAACCCATGGCACAACCAATAAGAGACGGCTTTATTCTCGGCCGAAAGGGACCCAACCTATGGCGCAACCAATAAGAGACGGTTTTATTCTCGGCCGCCGGGGCACAACCGACGGCGCAGACGATTGGAGACGGTTTTGTTCTCGGCCGCCGAGGGCGCAGCCTGTGGCGCAACCGATCGGACGATGGGAGATGATTTTATGATCGGCCGCCGAGGTACCAGGAGAGGAAGGGTAAGCAGGAGGAGAAGAGGAGAAACGAGGACGAAGTCCTAGATGAGGACGACGAGGAGGAGATGGAGCAGGAGGAAGACGGGGGGGATAAGGACGAGGAGGACGACGACGACGATCAATATGTGGAGGAAGACGGGGACGAATACGAGTAGTACGAGGACGAAGCATGGGCATTCGAATGCGTGCGGGGCTACGCCCGATGTAGGTTCGCCGTTTGGGCTGGCGGTGGGGCCCAAGCGGCGAGCTGTCTTGTGATTGTAGGACTTCTCCTGGTCTAGGGTTAGGGTAGCCCACGCCTCGGCATATTGTCCTCTAGCAGCTGGCTCCGTCGGTGGCGGCGAGCGCTCGGCGCCGACCCGTGGCCAGGTCGACGTAGTCGGTCTGCCCATCTGGGCCCTCGCCCTCCCGCGGTGGACGGGGCACGGGTTGCGATTGGGATGCGCGCGCCAGCTCGCCCTGGAAGTCGAAGGGGCGGGGCCCGCATCAATCAACCCACAGCGCTGGCTGTGCGGCGATAGCTGCCGCAATTGGTCCTTTTGAAACTATCTGGGCCATGGCCGCTCCATCAGCTGCCCAGATGGGGCATCACCTGGCGGTGTGCTATTGGGTTTCATCTTCGTGGTCTTGGTCGCGCCACTTGCAGAGTGGCGGCTCGTCCGCCGAGACCTTGGCTCGCGCCTTCCTCTGCTAGATGTGGTCACCACCGCTGAAGTAACTGTAAAGCAAGCCGCGCCTCCAGGCGGAGCATTTGGTGGCCCCTTTGGTGCGGGCCAACCAGCTAGCGGCGAAGCGGTCGACGCCCAGACGGATCGTGCGAAAAAACCCAAGGTCGTGGCGAGCGGCGGCGACGTCCGAAAGAAAGCTGCACATCTGTGACGTTGGGGGCCTTTGTGTGAGGGCGCCGGAAACTAACGAGACGCAGCCACGACAGCGGCGTGCCAGAGTCGTCGACCAGGGTGCCAAAAGTCGGCCAGGTGCAGTTGAGTTGCTGCAGAGCTTGCCATAGACGCCCTACGGGTCCCCCCTCTAGCTCCTAGCTGGTACTGGCCCTGGGTCTGTAGCTGGGTGGTTTTCGTAACCAGGGCCGTATCGCGGTTGCATGGCGGCGAGCCGCGAGAATAACCCCATGTTGGGCGACAGCGCCCACCGCGAGGTCGTGCCCTGGGACGCAAACGGCCGCCAGTGACCAGGAAAGACCCCAGCGCCCTCGTTGGACCTGGTCGCCGCACATTGGGTTTGGTTCTAAGCGCCGCGTCGCTCCGGGCTGGGGGCTTGGACATCCGCGCCCGTTACGCAGACGCTGGCGGCCAAGGATACCGCTGGTTTGGCCTTGCCTTCCATGCGCGTGGGTAAGCGGCCGATGCGCGGGGGACATGCGCGGGCGCGTCTGACCCCAGCACCCGCGGTGGTGGTTCCGTTGAGTTCGGCTGGTGCTGAGGCACAAGCCAAGTCGATGCAGCTGCTCACAAACTTCACCTGGTGGACCTTGAGAGTCTTGCAGAAAGAGAGAGAGAGAGAGAGAGAGAGACAGACAGACAGACAGACAGACAGACAGACAGACAGACAGACAGACAGACACACATAAAGACAGAGAGACAGGCAGAGAGAGAGAGAGGAAGGAGGGAGGGGGAACGAGAGAGAAAGAGATACTTAAATCAATTAGTAAACAAAGATAGAGACAGAGAGGGAGAGAGGGAGAGAGAGAGAAGGAGACAACACACACAACACAGACCAAGGAGCAGGCCCACAAGGGCCCGAAGGGCCCGAAGAGGAGGAGAAGCCTGATGAGGCGGCCGAAGAGGGGGGCGGAGCGGGCGGAATGGGGAGGTGATCGCCAAGCGCCTCGAGCTGGGCCAGGTCCCGGTGGTACGTGATCTGGCTGTGGTCCATGTACACAAGGTCGACGGAATGGAGGCCAACCTCAGCAGAGAAGAGGACTGCACATATATGCGTGCACATTTACACATGCGTGGATACATACATATTCACACACTTACGTATGTACAAATATGTAACCGCATGTCCATATGTGTAAAGGTGTACGCAACGATACATGCATCTACGCTAAAAAACGTAGATGTGAAGACGTAAGTACCATTATGCGAACCCACAGCCACATACATGTACATCTATGTGTGTGTACATATACGTATACATATACATTTCCATATGCAACTACACATGCATATACATATACATAGTTATATGTAAATGTATGTATATGTACATACATACGCCGAATCCATCTAGATGTGTAAAACTATGTACTTGCATACGTGTGTATATATGCAAGTCTACATATATACACATAACATCTACGCGTATGTAGATCTAGCTGTGCCAATACAACGAGTGCCTATACACAAAGAACACTGATCCGGCTAGACCTTCATCCCGCTGGGAACCGCTGGGTTGCGAGCGCGCCTGGATGGCCCACGAGGGCTCCTGATGGCTTCCGGAGGGCCCCACGCTGGGCCAAGAGGGCTACAAGACGCCCACGATGGCCACAAGACAATCCCAGAGGGCCCCTCTTCGCCCCAAGACACCCCAAGAGGCCTCCCAAGGGAGCTCCAAGAGGCCAACATCGCCCTTCGTGAAACGTACGTCCTCAGCATCAACAACTTCTCGCCTTCCCGACGCTCCAAGACGGCCCAAGACGCCCCCCAGATCGCCCCAAGACGGCCTAAGGGGCACTCAAGAGGCCCCCACGACAGCCCAAGAGAGCCCCAAGACGGCTCAAGAGGCGCACAAGACGGCCCGAGGGGGCCCCAGGACGGTCCCCGAGAGGCACCAAGGACCCCCACAAGAGGCCCCCAACAAGCCCCAGCTCCCCAAGAGGCCCTAAAAAAAACCCAAGAGACTCCCAAACAGACCCCAAGAGGAGCCAAAACTGCTTCCGAAAAACACCCCTGCCCTCTGGATTAGTACGGCGACGGTCAGATACTATATATTTATGTATATATATATATATATATATACACTTATGTGTATATGGATATTGGTATTTGATACCGGGATTGAGATGTTGAGTTATTTATATTTTCACATACATACATACATACATACATACATACATACATACATACATACATACATACATACATACATACACATCCATCCATCCATCCATCCATCCATCCATGCATGCATGCATGCATGCATGCATGCATGCATGCATACATATACACATATAAAAACGAACGTACGCGTCCGCGCGGAACTCTTGGATCGGCGCTGGGCCCCCCCTGGCGCGCGGAGCGCGCCAAGGGGATCAAGCGCAGATCCAGGAAGTCCCCGCGTATCTCCGGAAGTGTATGCTTATGCAATATTCTTCGTCCTTGAAGCCTGCTCCACCAGGCGCGGCGCCAGGTCTTCGCACTGCCCGGTCCAGACGTCGATCTGCACGCCCGTCGCCGCGAACTCGATCAGGTTCATTGCCAGGCAAGCGACCTCCGGGTCAAGCTCGAAGGTCACGATCCTGGCTCCGGCGCCGAGCACTCGCGCCATTCGGATAGCGGAGTAGCCCAGAAACGTGCCATATTCGACCACGTTGCTAGGTCGCCCCCGACGGGGTAGTCGCTGCAAGACGCCGTCGATGACCGCGCCCTTCTCGTAGGCGGCCCCGAATTTCAGCCAGCTCCTCCCCGAGAACTCCTCGAGCGCGCGGAGAATGGACTCGGCGTCGCCGAACGATGCCCTCGCGAGCGCATGGTAGGCCGCCCGCACGTACTTGTGCGATCCAGCGCCGGCGTCCACCAGCCCTGGGAACGGCGGCGCCCCCTCCAGACTGCTGGCCGAAGCCGGCAGGCGCCCGGCCAGCTGGTAGGTCAGCGGGTTCCACAGCCGCTCGCGGGCCATCTCCCGCAGGACCCCGCGGGCCTGCTCGAGATCGCCCGCCTGCTGAAGAAGAGAACGCGGCAGGAACATGAACTTTCGACGGCCCGCGCTGATCTCTTGGATCAGCGCTGGGCCCCCGTCCTTTGCGCCTCCCCAGCGCAGATCCAAGAAATCCGCGCGGACCGTCGAAAGTTCATGTTTGTGCAGCTGCTTCTCCTTCGAGCCTGGGCAAGGCGCATCACCACCACGTTGAGGACACATGCCCTGAGCCCGGGGGACTCACACGACAAGGTGGCCATCTCGCGCAGGACGGCCGCCTGCTCTCGGGGCGCCCCGTCGCGCAGCAGCACGGCGTACCCGTCCCTGCCGAGGAACCCCGCGTCGCGCGCGCCCTGGCGGACGGCCTCCGTCAAGGATCGGGCAACAGATAATGGCATCAACATAGGAACCTTCCCGGAGGTCCGCGCGGATGTCTCGCATTGGCGCTCGTGCCCCGGCCAGGGGCGGGGGATCTACTTACCCTGAGTCTGAGCGCCCTTCTCGGTATCCTTCTCCCACTCCCTTGAGGCCTCGCACCTCTCGCAGCTTCCGTCAGAAGGGCGCTGCGGGGGTCGGACCAAATCCCCACGAACCTGGCACCGTACGTGCAGTGCCAGGGGTGGCGGCCCGTCTTCGCATCCCACCATCGTAGGAGGATGCGAAGTCCCTGAAGACGGACCGGGGTGGGCACGAGTGGGCATCGTAGCCGGCTCAAAACCAAAAGAGGCATCATAGCCTCAAACTGATCCATTTACGGAACCAATTCCATTATCCTGTTCATTGGCTTCATTCCATGCGTAGCACGCTTTCCCCAAATGGAACGTGAACGGGACTCAGTCCCCTGCCGATCGTCTAGTGCCGCCATCATAGGCATCAAAAGGGCCATCGTAGGCACTTCGCACCCAATCTGGGCCATCACAAAGGTTCATTTTAGGAAAAATGAGCATCATAGGTCTTCGCAGTCAACCCGTCGAATCCACGGTGAATACAGCCAGAATTTGAAGAAGGATGTCTACACCTTCGAACAGGTTCAATTGTCCGGCCCCTACGCTCCGGTGTTCGCCACGACCATCAACGAGTTCAAGGTGCCACGATCAGCACGCCATCGAGCAACACGTGCGGGACTGGCGGCGTGACGCTGTACAGCACGACGAGCTCGAGCGCCCCGACGGGGAACTGTACCCCATCCGTTCTCCCCCCTTCTTCCCCCGTCCCCTCCTCCTCCTCCTCCTCCTCCTCCTCTGTCTCCTCGGCCCCGCCTCATCGGAGACGCGAGGGAGGCAGCGCAATAAGGATGAACACATCTGGAAACAGCAACTCTACGTTGACATCCGCGCGGGGGACAACAGAGATCAGCACGACCGTTACCAGGAGCGGCACGAAAGAAAGCAGCGGCTCCATGTTGGCAACTGCGAGTGGGACCAGCATCGCAACTGCAAGCGGAAGCCCTACATTGACAAACGCGAGTGGGACCCACAACACGACGGAGAGAAGCTCGACCAGTGCCAGGTGCAGCGCGATAGAGAGCAGCAGCTCCACGTTGACCATGTCACGTGAGGCCTGCAACTCAGCAGGGACAGCCCGTTGGACTTCAGGGACTCCCACATCAACCAGCTCGCCGACTCCTTCGTTCTCCCTCCTGCCCTCCTTCGTTCCCCCTTTTCTCTTCTCCTTTGAACCCATGCGGAGCCGCGAGGCAGGCACACAACAGAGATCAACAAGAAGGAAGCAGCTGCCCTGCATTATCATCCACGAGCGGATAAGCGGGACCAGTAGCACAACAGAGAGGAGCACGACAGGCACTAGGAGCAGCACGACAAAGAGTATCAGCTCCACGCTGACAACTGCGAGCGTGACCAACAACACAACTCAAAACATCAACCCTGCATTGACATCGGCGAGTAAGACCCGCAGCACAACAGAGAAGCACGACTAATACCAGGAGCAGTGCAGCACAACCGAAACGGCCGTTCGACATCAAGGACTTCTTCGTGCTCCTTCCATCCTCCTCCGTTTCCCTCTTCATCCTCCTACTTCCTCCGTCGCCCGTCAGGGGCCAGCACGAGTATTACCAGCACGACGGGATCTGCAGCACCGCGGCAAAGCACGCGTGTTGCCAGGAGGATTGGGACTACCAGTACGAGTATGTGCAGCAGCACTAGTGTTACCAGCACGACCCCTGGCCGATATTCGATGGTTAATCTTGACCCCAAGCCGTTGCTTGTTTTTTTGGCGGATTGGGGGGCTCCATGCGCTTTTTCGGAAATGGTGACTTCGGGCCATGTGGGGGGTCCTCTTGAAGGGCTACCCCGGGTGAGTAGAAGCAGGGTGTTCGACGGGGGCGCAACGCCGCGAGGTGGCGACGGCTGCGGTGTGATTCCTCGATTGTGGAAACCCCACTCCTTTTGATCGATGGTTCTTGAGTGTCCTTCTCGGGTATCCTTCTCCCACTCCCCTCGGTGAGGACCATTGTAGGCCTTACCAGTGACGACCGCCATGAGGCGTCACACCCCTCGCAGCTTCCATCAGAAGGGCGCTGCGGGGGTCGGACCAAATCCCCACGAACCTGGCACCGTACGTGCAGTGCCAGGGGTGGCGGCCCGCCGTGCCAGGGGTGGCGGCCCGCCTTCCCATCCCACCATCATAGGAGGATGCGAAACCCCTGAAGACGGACCGGGGTGGGCACGAGTGGGCATCGTAGCCGGCTCAAAACCATAGCCTCATCACTTTCCAAATTGAACCACTCACGGATCCGTTTTCCTCTTCATTCGCTTTTTTTCCATGCATAACATGAAAAGGGAACTCCAGCGCCGATCCCAGAAATCCGCGCGGACCTTCATACTCATGTCATTCTTTGCTGTTGGCTTCTCGAGAAGAACCGTCGCCAAATGTTGTCCAAATGTCGTAATGTCGTCCAAATGTCGACAGAAACCCGACGAAATCCCCCAAGCCGCAAGGAATTGTGGGGGCCCCTGAGACTCCGGTGAATCGGCGGCGAGGCCGCGGGAAGCCAGCGCGAGACGGCCTTTCCAAAGGTGGCGGGGCTTCTCAGAAACCCTCGCGCCCTTCTGAGAAGCTTCCTCTGTCTCCGGGGAGGGTTCGGAACAAAATCCCCTCAAAGGCCCGAGGACCTCCGAGCCTTCTGAGAAGGCTGGCCGCCAAGTGGAGGACCACACAACACGGACGGCCTCCACCGAGGACGCGTCGCCGGCGTGGGCGAACGCCCGCAGCAGCTGCGTAGCCTGCTTCGCCGAGGCGGGCCGCGAGCGCGGCAGGGCGCCCGCGAGGCTCGCGGCCCAGGCCGGCGGGCCGACGGCCGAGGCGGCCGGCGGGGCCACCTTGGCCAGGCCCCAGGCCAGCCTGGGCAGGTGCGGGCCCGCCAGCGAGGCGGCGCCGCGCCTCTGGAGGAGTTGCTGAGATGGGCGCTCTCCCAAAGAGCGGTTCCCGGCGACCCCCGATGGCACTCCGAAAGCTGGTGCTCTGGCGCTGCACTCTGGTCGGCTCTGAGGTCTACAGAGGAGGAGGAGCGAGCGAGCGAGCAAGCGATGCCTGGGCAGCTCTGGGTTCTCCTGTGGGGCACCTCCTGGGTTCTGCCACGAGGCTTCAGGCGCTGCTGGCGAGTGCAGGGGAGTATAAAGAGCACGCCTGTGGGACCTGAGTGGCCCAAATGGGCCTGCTGAGGCCCCCTTCAGCTCACGGGCGGGGCCAATGGATGAGGAGGAGGAGGATGAGGAGGAGGAGGAGGAGGAGGAGAGGAATGAGGAGGAGGAGGAGGAGGAGGAGGAGGAGGAGGAGGAGGAGGAGGAGGAGGAAGAGGAGGAGGAGGAGGAGGAGAAGGAGGAGGAGGAGGAGGAGGAGATGGAGGAGGAGAGGAATGAGCCTTCGTGGGAGACCCTGTGGACCTCCGCGGCCCTATGTCACGAACGCGGCCTCGACCGGATGTCGCCCAGAGTTCGTCCAGATTTCGACGAAATGTCGTCTAGACTTCGTGCATATCTCGACCACCCCTCTTCACCTTTTCGTCCGGATTTCGTCCAGACTTCGCCCAGAATTCGTCCAAAAATCGACAAAATCCGTCGACATCCCCCAAACCGCACGGCTTTCTGGGACCATCTGAGGCTCCCGTGAAGGACTACGCAAGGCGCCTCGCAACATCCGACGCCAGGCGGTGACCGAGGCCGTGCAGGCCGCCCATCTGCAGCGTGGCTGCAGCCCAGGCGAGGCTCGCCAGGGATGCGACGGGCAGGCTGGCACAAGGCTCGACCTAAACCGTGGCTTCTTGCAGAACGTACAACCCACCTCCACCTGCAACCAGGACCCCCACTCCCGACCTGGTGATCCAGAGGGCCCAAAAACCATGCTCGCCCCAGCTAGGACACCCTGGACCACCAGGTCGGGAAGGGGGTCCTGGCTGGGGATGGGGGTAAGTTATGCTGTCCTGAGTTGTCCGTGCTCGCTTTGTTATTGCCTCTTTTTGTCGACGTTTAGCTGGTGCTGCAATAAGCAAGGTTAACCAACGTGGACCCCAAACAGTGCTTTTCTACTAGCAATCCGCCGGCTCCCTAGCGGGGCCATCAGGCTGCGAGGCTTAGGCTTGCTGCTCCCTGCTCCAGTTGCAGGGTCCAGTTCCCATGTTATGATAATTTCACTTACTGCTTCCTACTGCAACCTGGTACAATCCGCGCAATGGGGGGGAGCCCCAAACGACCCGATTAACCACGCCCTGATCGAGGAAATTGCATGAGACTCGCGCCCCCGAGGCCAGAATCCCTCGTGCATTGAAAAAGGTTCGCGTCCTGGAAGCCATAACCCTTCGTATATTTTGCAAATGGTGCGTCCCCGAAGCCACTAACCATCGTATCGTAAACTACAGTACTCGCGTCCCCAGGGCAACACACACTCTCATAACTTACCGTCGCGTCCCCGAAGCCAAAACCTTAGCAAATTACACCGTCTTCGCATTGCCGAAGCCAAGAGTGCTCCAAGGCGCCCGAAGATTATTTTCAGACGGCCCAAGAGGGCCCAAAGATGCCCAAAGAGCGCTCCAAGAGGCCTCCCGAGAGAGCCCCAAGAGGCCAAACCCGCAGATTTTACGAAGGTTGTTGAAGCGTTTTGGCCTTCTCGCATGTTCAGCTTTCCGACGCTTCAAGACGGCTCAAGAAACTCCCAAGACCGCCCCAAGACAGCCCAAGACGCCTCCAAGAGGGCCCCAAGACGGCCCAAGAGGGCCCCAAGATGGCCCAAGAAGCGCTCAAGACGGCCCAAGAGGGCCCCAAGAGGGGCCCAAGCAGGGGACCACGAGAAGTCCCCAGGAGGCCCGAAGAGGCCGCCAAGAGGCCCCAAGAGGGCCCAAGAGGCGCCCAAGAGACCTCCAAGAGGCCCAAAAGATACCCCCACGAGTCCTCAAAAGGCACCCAAGAGGCGCCCAAACCGCCTCCAAAAGGCCCCCGAGAGGCTCCCCACGGCACCCCAGGCGGTGGCGGAATGGGCCGATGGC